TTATATAGAATTTGAATATAATTATATTAAAGATTTCTTTTGTATTAAAGAATATAGTATATAAATAAGATTTCTATTCTAATATCTTTAATTAGATTTAAGTATATACTAATTATTATTCTTTTTGTAGTATTAATATTTATTTTATTAATTCAGCTCTTAATATATAATTAAGATAGATTCTTAAATTAATTTTAATACTAATATTAAATATATTATTAAAGCTTAATATAAGCTTATATAAAATAAAAATATTATATATAATTAGATCAAATAAATTTCTTTTATACTAAGAAAATAATATTTATAAAATATTATAAATCTTATAATTAATTATAATTACAATACTTAAGAAGATTATTACTAATTTTATCTATATAGATTAGCAAGAAAAGTATTGCTTCTTCTGCTCTTAAAAAAAGAATATCTAAATTTGAGCAAGTAGCTCTATAATCTATATCTTATAGCAAGAATAAAAGCAAGAGTAAGATTATAATAGAATCTTGTATTAAGAAATAAGCTAAATTTGTTCAATCTTAAGATTCTTTCTTTATTTTTAATAATAATTCTTTAGCAGATAATATAAATAATATAAATCTGAATAAGATAAGAAGAAAGCTATTGAATAATATTTATAAATATTTTAATAATAAGAATAATATATAAAAATAAGAAATTTTTATAAATTGCAATATTTCTTTAATACTTTATATTTTTTATATATTGTATTTCAATATACTATAATTTTTAAATAATAAAAATAGCTTTAGAGCTAATTAATATGCTTTATATTGAATACTTTGAAATTTTTAAGTAAGTTTATAGTATTCTATAGCAAGTAATAGCAGATAATACTTTATTTCTTCTTTCTTAACAAAATATATAAGATGAAATAGGAAAAATGAAAAGAAAATATATTTTGCAAACAAAAAGGAAATATAAATAAAAAGAAATCAATCTTTCTTATAAGCTAGAAATGCTGATTTAATTAGAATTAATATAAATATCTTATTTTTATCTGCTTTTTTCTATTCTTGCTTTTTCTTCTTTACTGCTTATATAAAATATTTATTATTATTAACTCCATTTCCATTTTCAGTATTATTATTCGCTTTAATTGCTAGATTAATAATTTCTAAATCAGAATTAGTTTAGCTAAATATAGAATTATACTTAATAATGTTTGAAATTCAGAATTTAGTATTATTGCTTAAATCTGCTTTCTGAACTTTAAGAATATTATTATCTAATTTCTTTTGCTAGAGAGTTCTTATTGAATCTAGCTTTTCTGCTAATAATTAGCTAGATTAAAGCTTAATATTTTCTTTTTAAAATATAAGTATTTCGGATTTCCAAATGCTATTTATATTTTATATAAACTTTTTAAGATTAATAGCTGAATATATATTTTTTAGCAGAACTCTGTTTATAATTTTGAGCTTATAAGTATATTTATTTAGAATTTAAGCAATTAAATATAAATTCTTCTATTTATAAGAAATCTTAGCATTGCATAAGTAGCTTATTTTTCGAATATAGTTATAGATAAGTATAAGATTTTTAATATTTAATTGAGATTTTTGTATTAGATTCTGTATTTAATTTTTAGCTGCAATCTTTTAATAGTATATCTAAATAGCTTTAATTATTTTCTATATATTATCTTTCTTAGCTACAATTATTCTTAATTATATTTTAAATGCTTTTTAAAGAGATTAGTTTTTAATTTATATAAGAATTCTTTATATCGGAATTTCAGTTTTAATTGAAATAAGTAGCTTTTAACTGAAAATCAAATAGAAGAAGCTATATCTATGCAATTAGCAGATTGTAATTCTTTTAGCAAAAAGTATAAATCTTAAATATTGCTTCTATCTTTAGAATTAAGCATTAGCTAGCTTAATAAAAGCATTTGCTAAGAAAAGATAATTAGCTTCTACTTATTCTTAAGCATAGAGATTGTAACTAGAGATCTGAATAAGCAGAATTTCAAGAGCTTTAATAATCTTAGCTATCTTAGCTTTGTTTTCTAATTCTTTATTAATAATAATTTTGAAAGAGCATTTGAATATAAGAATAATCTCCTTTAAAATAAACTTCTTTATTTCTGCAGCTATAGCTTTCTTAAGAAATCTTATAAATATATAGCTAATCAGATTATAGCAAGCTTTTGCAAGATATCTGTAATTATTATTCTTAGCTATATTGTAATGAGCACTGCAGCAATCCGAAGATTCCAAAGTATACAAAGGGGATTTATGCTAACAAGAGCAGTATCAAAGTGCCAAGTCCTTGAATACGGAACTGTACAAGTCTCAATAAGCGATGCAAGTATTCACTGCTTTTGGGGCTATTAGAGTAGAGAGGAATCTGATACTTAGATTAACAACTGAAGAGCTATATACGAGATCTATCTAATGGGAATAAATGTATTCTTATATATCTAGCTCTTCAGTTCTGTTGGTAGTGTTGATTATTGGATTCCTTAGATTATCTAGATAATCCAACTGATCTGAATTACTATAGATTAGCTACTGATTTATTCTGATTCTGTAACTCTAATCCTTGCTTATATAAGCTTTAGTTCTTAAGATATTGAATCCTTTTCTGTTTTTCCGAATAGTTATTCTGAGTGTTTTAGCTAGTAATCTGCATATTAGATAAGTTATAATATTATCTTTCTCTTATTGATTGTTATTCCTAATAATCTTTTATAAATATTCTAGCAAGTTATTTGTATATATAATTATGCTTTTCTAATCAAGATATTGAATAGAATTAATAAATTGTATTCTAATTATTTGATGAAAACTTAAGAGCATTATTATCTTGCTAAGCTTATTTCTGCTTTTAGCATCGAAATGCCTGCTTGTATTCATTATTAAAAGATGAAAGCTTTCTATTGTTTTGCTGAAAACTCTTCTCATTATAAGAAGTGTATTTCTTTGGATCAAAGCTGTAATACTGATCATTTCTCGATCTCTGCTAGTTAGTTTCTTCATTCCTTAGCATTCTCCATGATTACTGATTTTCTTCTTCAGCAGAGCGTTTGATTTGTAAAAAGTGCAAAGTTTTGAGCGAGAAAGCTGAAGCAGAGTTAGCAAACGCTGCTGCTCTACAAGCCTTGCTAGCATTGCAAGCTTATCTTAATCATATACGGAAATAGCAAAAGCTGTTGAAAGAATATGCTACAGAAATGATTTATTGTGGCTTTAATTCCTTAGAGAGGTTTGCTGATAAGGAGGATTGCAGTCTTTATAAAGAGAAGATTCATCTGATATTTCAGAAACATCTTAAGATTATCAACTGGAGTTTCTTGGATTTGGAAGGTTCTGTAATAGATTAGTTAAGCTTTCTGAAGAGTGAGATTCCCGAGGCTTCTAGATCTCAGTTCGGAGCAGAGCGATCATCTTAGATACTAGTTTCCTTCCTTTTCCAATATTCAGCTATCTTTTTCTAAGCATTTTCAATATTCTTCTGTAGTTCTCATAAGTTTTCGCTTGCTGAATAATCTTTTTATTTAATAAAGTATTTCCTTATACTATTTATACCTTTATGCTTGAGAATCTTTTCTATCTCATACTCTGATTCATTGTTTTCTACTTCTGCTATATTGTTCGCTAGTATTTCCTATACTGCTGATTCTAGTAATAAGATGTGAAAAACCAGATATATTCTCATCTTATAAGATAATGCTAACTTATAATTAATCAGAGAAATCTATTATAAGATTTTGAATAATTCTAACTTCTTATAATCGAATTTGTTGCTGGATCTAGTTGTTTTAATGTTTTTTCGAAGTAGATAAATTTTATCTTCTTTCTATAGAATTGGTTTCTTAATCCTTTTAGAGTTTGCATATTGTATTATTTATTCTTGAACGAATTATAATTCTAATTGGAATTTCTTTTAAACTTTCTTAATCTTCTTAATTCTTTTATTCGTAGCTTCTGCATCTGCTCTTAGCAATGCTTTGTAATAAGCTATTGAATTATATTTATAGAATATAAAGAATAATAATTTCTTTATTATATTTGTATCTATGCTATTATAAGCGAACTATGCAAAAAGCAATAGATTAATCTAGTTATTCTATTTCTAATTAATATAATATTAAAGATATTATTTAATAATCTAATTTATTCTTTCTATTTATTCATCTGTTTGCAGATGAAATGCTATAAATATTCTATAGTATATTCTGAGCTGTTTTATAAGTAAAGTTCAAAATTTCAAGTTGAACTTTCTATTTCTATTAGAGATTACTTCTTCTAGCATGCTATAGTTAGCGATAATTATTCTGAGAAATATATATACAAGTTCTTCTGCTATACTGCTTTCCTTATAGAAAAGAAAATAAGTATACTTACTTAATCTACAAACTATTACTAGAATGCTATTATATTGCATCTTAATTAAGAGTTCTTATAAGAAAGATAGCTTAATAATAAAGTTTAAACTAATGAATTGCTAAACAGTTATAAATATTAATAAAAGATGCAGTAGTTTGTAAAGCTTATATCTTTCTGCTTTATTCTTCTTACAGCTATTGTGTCAGGGCTGATTGTGCCAGCAAGGCTCAGGGCTAGCTAAGCCAGCTGGATTACGGATGACTAAGCAATATGCGGCTATAAAGCGGCTTTCTAGCCACATCAGCACTGCTGAGCAGAACTTAGCTCCTTAAGCCTCAATGTTATTCTGGTTGTATACCCCTGAAAGAGAGAAAGACCTCGCCACATTGCCTTTGCAATCTTTCCACCTGACAGTTTGAAGCCTGGCTCTTTTAAAGGAGGCAATCCAGCGAGGCTTTCTATCTTTTTTTTTCTTCCCTAGAAGCAGCGCTAACACTGAGCAGGAGCAGAGCAAACGATTAGACCACTATTCTTTTCGAACCTTCAAGCTTTTGACCTTCGAGCCTTTAATCTTCGAGCCTTTGATCTTCAAGCCTTCGATTTTCGAGCTTTCGAGCCTTGAATACAGCAAGCAAGCAGTGTTGAGCAAGCAGTATGCAAGCAGCGTACGAGAAGCGTTCAGAAGAGATTCAGAGCATTCGAGTTGCTAAGCTAGAGCAAACAGCGAGCAAGCAGTATGCAAGCAGCATGCGAGAAGCGTTCAGAAGAGATTCAGAGCATTCGAGTCGCTAAGCTAGAGCAAACAGCGAGCAAGCAGTATGTAAGCAGCGTGCAAGAAGCGTTCAGAAGAGATTCAGAGCATTCGAATCGCTAAGCTAGAGCAAACAGCGAGCAAGCAGTATGCAAGCAGCGTGCAAGAAGCGTTCAGAAGAGATTCAGAGCATTCGAGTTGCTAAGCTAGAGCAAACAGCAAGCAAGCAGTATGCAAGCAGCGTGCAAGAAGCATTCAGAAGAGATTCAGAGCATTCGAGTTGCTAAGCTAGAGCAAACAGCGAGCAAGCAGTATGCAAGCAGCATACGAGAAGCGTTCAGAAGAGATTCAGAGCATTCGAGTTGTTAAGCTAGAGCAAATAGCGAGCAAGCAGTATGCAAGCAGCGTACGAAAAGCGTTCAGAAGAGATTCAGAGCATTCGAGTTGCTAAGCTAGAGCAAATAGCAAGCAAGCAGTATGCAAGCAGCATGCAAGAAGCATTTAGAAGAGATTCAGAGCATTCGAGTTGCTAAGCTAGAGCAAATAGCGAGCAAGCAGTATGCAAGCAGCATGCAAGAAGCATTCAGAAGAGATTCAGAGTATTCAAGTTGCTAAGCTAAAGCAAATAGCAAGCAAGCAGTATGCAAGCAGTATGCAAGAAGCATTCAGAAGAGATTCAGAGCATTTGAGTTGCTAAGCTAGAGCAAATAGCAAGCAAGCAGTATACAAGCAGCATGCAAGAAGCATTCAGAAGAGATTCAGAGCATTCGAATTGCTAAGCTAGAATAAAGTATATTCTTTGCTATTCAAGCGAAAAAGCAGAATAAGCAAGCAGTAGATCTAAGTATCTTCTGTTTTCGAGAGTATATTCTTCGCTATTCAAGCGAAAAAGCAGAATAAGCAAGCAGTAGATCTGAGTATTTTCTGTTTTCGAGAGTATATTCTTCGCTATTCGAGCGAGAGAGCAGAGTAAGCAAGCAGTAGATCTGAGTATTTTCTGTTTTCGAGAGTATATTCTTTGCTATTCAAGCGAGAGAGCAGAGTAAGCAAGCAGTAGATCTGAGTATCTTTTGTTTTCAAGAGTATGTTCTTTGCTATTCGAGCAAGAGAGCAGAGTAAGCAAGCAGTAAATCTGAGTATCTTCTGTTTTCGAGAGTATACCTTTTGCTATTTGAGCGAGAATGCAGAGCTGAAGCGGAGTGTTTGCTTAGCAACTGAAGTTGCTTAGGTATTAGATTGCAAACTAATTATCCTTTTGCGCTTAGCAGTAGAGCGAAGCGTAGCAATAGCTTCAGAGTTGCTAAAGAGCAATTCTCAAGATAGAAAGCTGTAATTATCTGTTATAGCTGCAGGAATGCTGTTCTGGATGCTAAGCTTCTTAGCTGCAAACCAAGTTCCTAGTGAAAGGCTTGTAATCTATATCAAATAGCTTTAAGTTCTGAAGAGTGCCTGGATAAAGCGCTGAGGGAGCAGCAACTAAGCAGCGTATATAGCGCAGGTATTGCACTCGGAAGACTTACGTCTGAAATGTGATTAAAAAGAGATTTTTTTTTTCACAGGCTTCGGGGACGAAGCTAGAAGAGAAGGAGGGAGATGATTGAGAAGCCTTGAGAGGCTTAAGGCACTGAGAGATCTTGAGAGACCTTGAGTAGCTTAGAAGCCTGAGGCACTGAGAGATCTTGAGAGGCCTTGAGAAGCCTGAAGCACTGAGAGATCTTGAGAGGCCTTGAGAGGCCTGAGGCACTGAGAGACCTTGAGAGGCCTTGAGAGGCCTGAGGCACTGAGAGATCTTGAGAGACCTTGAGTGGCTTAGAAGCCTGAGGCACTGAGAGATCTTGAGAGGCTTTGAGAGGCCTGAGGCACTGAGAGACCTTGAGAGGCCTGGAGAGGCCTGAGGCACTGAGAGACCTTGAGAGGCCTTGAGAGGCCTGAAGCACTAAGAGATCTTGAGAAGCTTTGAGAAACCTGAAGCACTGAGAGATCTTGAGAGGCCTGAGGCACTGAGAGACCTTGAGAGACCTTGAGTGGCTTAGAAGCCTGAGGCACTGAGAGATCTTGAAAGGCCTTGAGAAGCCTGAGGCACTGAGAGATCTTGAGAGGCTTTGAGAAACCTGAGGCACTGAGAGATCTTGAGAAGCTTTGAGAAGCCTGAAGCACTGAGAGATCTTAAGAGCCTGAAGCATTGAGAAAGCGTAGGAGCAGCTAGGAAGCAGCGAAAGCCTGGAAGCAGCGAAAGCCTGGAAGCAACGGAAGCCTGGGAGCAACGGAAGCCTGGGAGCAACGGAAGCCTGAAAGCAACGAAAGCTCGGAAGCCTCAAAGGCCTTGAGGATAAGGCCTGATAAGGGGGGACAATCTGTCAGGGCTGATTGTGCCAGCAAGGCTCAGGGCTAGCTAAGCCAGCTGGATTACGGATGACTAAGCAATATGCGGCTATAAAGCGGCTTTCTAGCCACGTCAGCACTGCTGAGCAGAACTTAGCTCCTTAGGCCTCAATGTTATTCTGGTTGTATACCCCTGAAAGAGAGAAAGACCTCGCCACATTGCCTTTGCAACCTTTCCACCTGACATATTGCATTATTATAAGATATTTTCAATTCTTCTCTTAAAGCTTAATAAGTTCTAATATCTTTTAATATATTCGTAAATTGCTCTAACTTTCTAATATTTATATACTAATATATTATATATATTCTTGATATAATTGTTTTGTTTATTTGAAATCATTGATTCTGAGTTTTTTCCTAAAGATTCAATTCTGAAGGCAGCATTCAGTTCTCTGTATGCATTAACAAGATTTCCCAACTCGTTTTAAGCAAAGATATTCTATATATCCGAGGAATCTATATCTCGATAGTCTGATTTCCTGCTAAGAATATCTGCTTATCTATTTTCTAAGCTTTTGCAATGCATAATCTTGAAATCGAACTATAAGAGAAATTCTATTCATTTAATTTATTGCTTATTCAAAATCTTGATTATTATGAATATAATTAGATTCTTATAATCTGAGTAAACTATAATCGAATATTATGCGCTAATAAGATAATATTGCTACTTCTTGAAAGCTTTTACTATTGCTATGAGTTTCTAATTAGGAATTCCATAGTTAATTTCTAAGCTATTTAACTTCTTTAAAAAGTTGCTTATAATTCTTAGATATTCTTAGTTATTTTGCTAGCTAAATTATCCTCTGAATGCATATTCTAATGCATTAGTTTCAACTTCAAAGGGTTTGTAGAGATCTGCTTTATATAGAACTAGTTCTGAAGTAATATATCTGATAATCTCATTGAAAGCTTCTTATACCTTAGAGATTCATTCGAAAGGCTATTCTTTTTTAATAAGATTTGTAAGAAAATATGCAATTCAGTTGTAGTTCTTAATGAACTGCTTGTAAAAGTTAATATATCCAAGGAAAGATCTAATATTTCTGATGTTTCTAGGAATTAGCTAGTTCCTAATAGCTTTCATCTTATCTTTCTGTAGCTTAATATATTCCAGCTTGATTATAAATCTGAAATAGTTAACTTTTTGTATGTAAAAGTAGCTCTTTGCAAGCTTTATAAGAAGCTTTGCATTCTGAAGCATTTGCAATACTATTTCCACATATTTCTTATATTCTTTCAATATTTGAGAATAAATAAGAATGTTATTAAGATAAGCAATAATGAACTAATTCAGATGCTTGCATAGAATGTAATTAATTATTTTCTGGAATAAAGCTAGAGTATTCGTTAAATCAAAAGGTATAATCAAATATTCGTAGTATCCGTAGTATATTCTGAAAGCAGTTTTCCATTCTTCTTCTTCTTTTACTCTAATCAGATTATAAGCTTCTTTTAGATTTAGAACTATAAACTATTATACTTCTTGCAATCTATCTTATAATTCCTTAATGAGTAGCAATGAATATTAGTTCTTAATTGTAATATTATTAAATTGCTTATAATTAATATATAGCTTAAGCTTGCTATTTTTCTTAAGTATAAACAGAATAGGATATTCTGCTAGTAATTGCAATAATTATATATATTCTTTCTTAAGATTCTTATTAAGATATTCCTTGAATGCTTTTAGTTATATCTTATTTAATCTGTAAATAGGAAAGAATTTAAGCTATTTCTCTTTTTGTAGCAGAATCTCGTAGTTATATAAGCTGTATTCTAGCAATTCTATATTCAATTCTTTTTAGAACAGTTTCTTGAACTTGTAATATTCTTATAATATGTTTGCAAGTATTAGTTCTAGTTTCTATGCTGTTTCTGCTATCTGGAGAAACAGTAAGTACTGTTAAGTGTGCTTCTTTTCTAATAGCGTTTTCGAAAGCTTTGAGCATTCGCTCCGGTATTATAACTCATCTAACATGCAGGTTACGAAAACAGGTTACAGGCAAACAAGAACCAGGTGTCATGACTCAACGTCAGACAACCCACAAGGATTACGTAACCCAGGGTTAGGGTTACAGGCCAACCAATCAGAAGAGCTCACCTGTGCTCACCGAGCCTTAGTGAGCACCACTGGGCAGCAGTGAGCTTCAGTGAGCACCACTGAGCAGCAGTGAGCCTCAGTAGGCATCAGCAAGCCACACTGAAGAGCTGAATATATAAGAACACATTCATTCCTATTAGATAGATCTTGTATATAGCTCTTTAGTTATCAATCTAAGTATCAGATTACTTTCTACTCTGATAGCTCCAAAAGCAGTAAATACTTGCATTACTTATTAAGACTTATACAGTTCCGTATTCAAGAACTTAGCACTTTAATACTACTCTTATTAGCATAAACTCTCTTTATATACTTTGGAATCTTCAGATTGCTACAGTATTCATTATATTTTAATAACTCTTATTCAAAAATAGTTCAGTATTACCTCTTGAGCAATACGGAATATAATAGCTTTTTTAGGAATCTCTTCATTCTTATATGCTTCTACTCAGAAGAAACTAATTAATCAGATATATTAGCTTACTTAGCATATTCAGAATCTGTATGAATAATAGCAAGCTTAAAGCGCTACTATTGCTAACTAATAAGCTCAGCTAGCTTAGCAGGCTTAATAGGCGCAATTCATTTCTATAGCTATCAATAGTGCTGAAAAGGCATACAAGATGAATAAGCTTGCTATATATAATAGCAATCAGAAAACGCTGCATGGATTCCTTATCTACTGCAGAGTATATTTCTTGTATCATATAATTCAGTTTACTATGAAATCTGAAAAGATTATTCTTATAGAAACTTATTTCAAAAAGAATATTCTTATTTAATACAAGCCTTCTCTATATAATCACTTGAAGCATCAGAATAATTCTAATGTATATATCCAGAATATTAAAAATATATTCAATTCCTTTAAAAGCTTTGA